AACTGTATGATACAACAAAGAAACTTGCTGGAAATTACCGTAAGCAAGAAAGACCAGTGAAAAGCAAGGAAGGCAAAGTAATCACCGACATTGAAGAACAACGAAGCAGGTGGGTAGAACACTTCAAAGAACTCTTGAATCGACCAGGTCCACTGAACCCACCCAACATCGAAGCAGCACCCACGGACCTCCCAATCGATGTTGGCCCACCAACAATTGAAGAGATCAGCATGGTCATTAGACAAATCAAGAGTGGCAAAGCGGCGGGACCAGACAACATCCCGGCAGAGGCACTGAAAGCAAATGTAGCAGCAACTGCCAAGATACTCCACATCCTCTTCAGTAAGATTTAGGATGAAGAACAAGTACCAACAGACTGGAAAAAAGGACTTCTGATCAAGATACCAAAGAAAGGCGATCTGAGCAAGTGCGACAACTACAGGGGCATCACTCTTCTCTCAATACCAGGGAAAGTCTTCAACCGAGTATTGTTAAACAGGTTGAAGGATTCCGTGGCCGCCCAACTTCGAGATCAACAAGCTGGATTTCGTAAGGATAGATCGTGCACAGATCAAATCGCAACTCTACGTATCATTGTGGAACAATCAATCGAATGGAATTCATCACTCTACATCAACTTCATCGACTACGAGAAGGCATTTGATAGCGTGGACAGGACGACACTATGGAGGCTTCTTCGACACTACGGCGTGCCTGAGAAGATAGTCAATATCATACGGAACTCCTATGATGGACTAAACTGCCAAATCGTCCACGGAGGACAACTCACCGACTCGTTTAAAGTAAAGACTGGTGTAAGGCAAGGTTGCTTACTCTCACCCTTTCTCTTTCTCCTGGTCATCGACTGGATCATGAAGACGTCAACATCTGGAAGAAATCACGGGATACAGTGGACAGGCAGGATGCAGCTTGACGATTTAGACTTCGCGGATGATCTGGCTCTTCTATCACAAACGCAACAACAAATGCAGGAGATGACGACCAGTGTAGCAGCAGCCTCAGCAGCAGTAGGTCTCAATATAAACAAAGGGAAAAGCAAGACTCTCCGATACAATACAATATGGACCAATAAAAGTACACTTGACGGAGAAGCTTTGGAGGATGTGGAAATCTTTACATATCTGGGCAGCATCATTGATGAACACGGTGGATCAGATGCAGATGTGAGGGCGCGGATCGGCAAAGCAAGAGCAGCATACCTACAGCTGAAAAACATCTGGAGCTCAAAACAATTGTCAACCAACACCAAGGTTAGAATTTTCAATACAAATGTCAAGACAGTCCTACTGTATGGGGCGGAGACGTGGAGAACTACGAAAGCCACCATCCAGAAGATACAAGTGTTTATTAACAGTTGTCTACGCAAGATACTTCGTATCCGATGGCCAGACACTATCAGCAACAACCTACTGTGCGAGAGAACAAACCAGATTCCAGCGGAGGAAGAAATCAGGAAGAAGTGCTGGAAGTGGATTGGGCACACTTTGAGGAAATCACCTGATTGCGTCACAAGACAAGCCCTCACATGGAATCCTGAAGGTCAAAGGAGAAGAGGGAGACCAAAGAACACATTACGCCGAGAAATTGAGACAGACATGAGAATAATGAACAAGAACTGGGTAGAACTAGAAAAGGAAGCCCAGGACAGAGTGGGTTGGAGAAAGCTGGTCGGCGGCCTATGCTCCATTGGGAGTAACAGGCGTAAGTAGTAAGTAGTAGTAATGTTTGCATAATCCATAGTGATAATAAAATGATGTTCAGCATGGTAACAGTAAGGTAGAATAAATGTGTAGGCATTAGAAACATCATATTTTTTTGTTAAAGAAACTAATAATTTTATTATTTAAGTTTTGAATATTCATCATCAAGATAGATTAGGAAATTATTATTGTGAAAAGAAGGCTTAGAATGATAAGATAAGTTGTTGAAATTGCGATGAAATGTAATCAGGAGGATCATAGAAACAGGAACAAACCATTTGGGGGCAAAAGATCTATAAAGATAGAAGGGAAATAGATGACTGTGAAGAAAGAAAATTATGAGAGATTAAGACCATGATAGAAGAAGTGGTTGTACCAGTTTCATTTGAACATACAATTCTTCTATTTTCAAGATGTATAGCTATTGCTTCGAGGGTGTTTAGAAGATAAACCATAACTTCTACTTAACTTGTAGATGACTTTGAACGCAGAGTCCGCTTTTGATTGAGTGACATATGTTCACAAAGTGTTCGATTATTCAGCTTCTTATTGAGCCGATTCCGCCTCCTTCTGTGGTCAACAATCCATCAGGTATTTCGTTAGCATACTGCACATGTTTAACTAATAATTCACTGATAGATTCATATGACAAAGGAACTGAATTCTCTGGAAAATCCAGATGCCTTATCAGCTTATACACATCTTTGCCAATGAATGTCTGGAAATCGGCTGCGAATTCATCATTTCTAATATCTCTTCCAGTCGTGCACCACATTTCAAACAGCTCCATGTATTCTTCAAAGAAATCTCCACTTGCAAAAATATCCAACTTACTCAAACTTTTTACAAATATGACAATTAGAATAAATCGAAATGACGTGTTAACTACGAACTCCAAGCATAGTTGAATTTAATAAAGACAGAACATGATGAGAACAAGGAATGAGATAGTCGGTGAAACATCAGTTTGACGTGATGCATTAACCAATGTGAGTGTAAACGTAGTTGTGGTTGATGTGAATGTATGGATGTATAGTCGAAAATTTATTGAGTGTCAATCACTTGAACTACAACTACGCACTGAGACAAGAAACACTTTACCGGTTTTCATTCAAATGCCACCACCAACACTCTTTTTGGAGACATTGGGTAATTAACTATATGTGACTTAGGTTTGTAAATTTGAAACAGTCTTTTACCAGCATCCACATAATGCTTCACATATGTGTCCATCCATCAGTTCGACCATTCACTGTCGTTATGTGTATCACTTCATACATCAAGTGACAAAATTGCTAAAATTAAGAAAACGGGTTTCATTCCGCGTGTGTAAGTTTGTACGAATGCTTTTCAGCTAATCCATTACTAAAATTACGCCATGGGAGAATCTCTACTCTTTCTTTGTGATATCATCTGAACAGATTTATTTTACTCTTCCGTTAAGATATCTGACCAATTTTACTTTGTAACGGTTGAGAGTAAAACTATAGAGGTAAGTGTATAGAAAATTGTAGTTGTTATTTCTGCAGAGACTTCAGTTTGACGAACTGCTACGTCGTTCACTTGGTGATGTATCGATCAGTGGTAAAAGATTTATTGTCACACTCTTCTTCATTAGTACACTGTCAAACTCATTGATCAGCTTTTTTTCCAAACATTTTGCCAACATTATAATCTCGGTACAATCTCGATACAATCTATGTTTTAAGTGTTCTTTGATTTACGGTTCTTTGATTTGACGGTTTCAGAGATTCTGTCAATGGTTCCCTACACTTGTTTTGTTTATGTTTGTGTGAGTAAGAAATATAGTTGATAGTCAGAAACTGTTTTCTGTTGGGCCAAACAGATTCTGAATCTAAAGTGCAAAATGATTGTTGGTCGGCTGACCTTAACATGTTGGCCAATAGTTGTCAATTTGTAAATCTCTGGTTGTTCACTGGTTTACAACGTGACCAGTGAATTCTATATATACTCTACAGCAGTATTAGAAATGAGTGATGTAAAATGTCGAGAAACAGCTATAGAACGCGTCTCACCCATTATTTATTTCAAGCAGTGTTGACGGTGTCAATATTTGTCCAGATATTCGGAAGCGTCACCAGTGAGCCACTGTCACGTAAGTTGTTTCCATGTTGATGTTCGTTGAGAGCAAGCTAAATTGAAGGGACTAAAAGATATTTGTTCTTTCCTTTCAGGTGAACGAAGAGACATAAGCAGGCTTCGTTTCGGCTAATTACTGCAAACGTATATTGATCCTCATGTTGTTAAACAGTATATTTAAATAAATTATTACCATTTTCCGAAGTGCCTTCTTGTTTATTGACATAAAAGTGTTCTGGGATGTTGATTGCTTGAGAAGCTAGTCTAGCAAGTTTTTGATTTAAATTCTCCTGTTGATCATCGGTATACAACAAGAATAGAGAAATGTAATCACGCAGTATAAAAGCACTGAAAATGTGTAAAGTATCTGGGAACAATTCAGAACCAGTGTAGATATGAAAATTTTAATATTAAACAATGTTTAAGGAGTTTTGATAAGTTTTAGTCCCTTGAAATTGGATGTAGAAAATAAAGTGAGATAAAGTGGTAGTTCTCTAGATCTCGAAGCGAACAACATGGATTGCGTAATAATTACAAAAGAAGTGTCTGCATTATTCGTACACATTAAGCCAGGGAAAAACACTGATGGATGGAAAGATAATATTTCCTTTCAGTTAGTAAGTTAGTAAGGTTCATCGACAATCAGTGTAGTTAAATGTATTTGAACACACTCCTAGCAATTAACAGCTGAAAGAGAGTAAAGTATTTACAAGTGTAATTGCCAGACATCTCGATAGTGAACATGTTGTGAATGTAAGTGATGCATTCAAATTAATCAACAGACAAAACTTATCAATCTTGCTCGGTTTTTCAGAGGCGATCAGCAGTCAAAAGTTTTTGACCTGAGCTATGTGATTAGGCTTTCCCTGCCACACGGGTTCGGGGTTTCACCTAATAACCTTTATGAATTTTAACTTCCAAATTTTTTAACCCTGTCTCCAACCTTTTTATCTTTGTTCTTAATTGGTTTTCTCATATTCATCTTTTGCATTTTCGAATCTCGCGAGGCATTATGATGGATGCCCACTGCTGAGGAGTCCCACAATAAGACGAGTTGGCCGGCCAGTGTTTCCATGGTTTCCATGGTGATCTAGCTTCAATTGACTAATGATTTTAACCGTAAATTATTTCATCTAGAAATTACCTCCTCGATTAGTAGATCAAAAGGTACAATCATGTAGTAATCGTAAATATTTATTTAGAAATTCATATCAGTATTGAAATATGTAAACATTTTTGTAATGTTATCATCGAATCACTGAAATTTTTATATAATGGTAATATTCATGAAGATAACGAAGATGTTTCAGATAGGTATAATCGTCTTCTAGAAATAAATAACAACGACAAAGAAGAAAATAAGATAATAGTTATCATAAAGTAGTATATTTCATTCTATAACAAAACTATTTACAATAAACAGTAGACTAGTTTAGAGAAATTAAAATACTGCAAATATAAAATTGGTCAGATATAATTTAAAAAGCTAATTAATGTATTTTAACAGTTGAATTCATAAGTCGAGAGTGAGTTGAGTCTCGCATGTGGGACTCATGGATGCTCACTATTGAGAAATCCCATACTAGTACGTAAAAATCATCCAATGCTTTCAGGTTTTCAATGCTGGTTTAGTTTAAATCAATTCATGAATTCAACTATTAAAATTACTATAATCCCCATAAACTCCTATACTGATGATTAGTTCTCTGAATTTAGTTGTCATGTTTAATGTAAACCAACAATTTTCAATTAACAAAATAAAAGTTGATTGAGTATAGTTAAGGAAAATTCAGGTGTATGAGACGAAGGAAATATTCTTCATAGACGATACTATTCAGTGACACTGTACAATCTTGATTATAGTTATTTAATAATATAGAGAGTAGTCTGTATCAAAATAGACAGTTATTATGATAATTAAAAAATTTGGAATATCAAGTTACGTTATAGTTTAAAAGTTAGTGAGAAATATTAAGGTGAAATCATATTTTAAATGAGAAGTGGGAAAGCATATTTCGTACCTTATGTCTATTAAGATGAAGAAATGAACGGATTCCACTTTTATTTAGAGAAGCGAAGAGTTAAGAGTATGGAAAAATTAGACAAATTAGGAGAAAACCCCATATGAGTCTATGTGACAAGAGTTGACAAAATGTTCGAGAATTGGACTGTTGTTTATTTTACACACACATTTTGACAGACAAATAGGGTACTGCTGAGAAATGTATTTGTAAAAAACAAGTCTTGAATGACCAACTAAACTGACTATTTGGTTTATAGCTCATGAACTCGAGATGAGACCGGAAATCCTGGGTTCGACAACAGATAGGATCATGGAAAGTCATTACTCTTAAGTCTCATACTAGGACCATATAGCTGTCCATTGCTTCCTTGTTTTTCAGTGGTTATATAACTACGATCAAGTAAAACATGATATATCTATCTATTTATTTATAGCTAATAGCAGAAAGAATCTCAGACTCGTATTATATTAAAGGAAGTTTAGTCAGCATGTATATGTAGTCTGTTTATTTGAATCGCCATACTTTTTATCTATTCCAAATCCATAAGTTGTTCAATATGGATATATTTAATGCTTCATATCATATTATGTTTGTCCATGAAGTGTCACATTTAATTTACCATTCTAATGATACTTATGATTTAATGATGAAATATATTTAATGCATAGATAATTGGTTAGTAATCTGTTTCTGATGTATCGGGTTGAACTCAATACTTTTTAAATTGTACATATACAGTTGATAAGTTGCAATTATTGACAGTCAAACCTTTTATGAAATTCTGAAAAGTATGGGTAACATTAGTCTTATTAAAATTGAACAATAACTTAAAATTAAAGGGGGTAAATGTTGGTTATAAAGTAGAACTATATGTAAAGATGAAATGAAGGAATCAATTATTGAACTCTAAAGAATAACGAACTCATAACATTAGACTTCGTTTATTCAGTAGATGGATAAATACCACTTATTTTGAAATTTTCGTAGTTACCTCCTATGTTATTTACCATTTACACTGACACTCAAGAATATTAATCGACTTGTTTATTCCCTAATATGGCATAATTTAATCTTAAATAGTACTTTCAAACTTGTCTTTATATCAATCATCATTTCGTCCATATTAACAACTTATCAAAGTGATTCAATCAGAAGACACGTTAAACTGTAAACTTGTTTCTCGAGATTTTTGTGTATATTTACGAAATACACATCCACTCGGTCTATTTCAAATCAATGTCTCTTCGATATAACGTTAAAAATTATACACACATAGTCTGATAATTCGGCTTAAATTTCATATCTTGTAGATAAACAACCAAATAGATTGGAATTTATTTGTAAGTTGTACAACATAATGTCTGATCAAAAATACCACAAAGATATTGTGGTGCGTGCTACTGATGTCGACAGATATAAGTAATATGTGTCATCAATCAAAAGTGAAATGCTTGGAAGCAGAAGGTTCAGAAGATTAAAGAAAAGGAAATGAGAACAAAGAATGAATCTTGTAGAAATGAAGGAATAGTGAAATCTGAGATGATTGATTGACATTCACAAATGAAACAGTCAAGTTTGAGACTAATGTTTGACATTTTGCAAATTGATTATTTACTGTATAGTTCTTACATTTTGCTAATATATCTTGTAATTTTATGTTCAAATACATTTGATTCTTTCCACTTATTTTCTTGTTCATTACAAAGTTTCAGCAAGCTGCATAATAACTGCTGTTCAACTATGTGAGAATTATTATTTCATTATTAAGTGTGTATATTTCTTTCATAAGTATTAGAATACTGTTATTGAGATATTTTTATAAAAACAGTAAACTCGTAAATGATGGCAAAAAACTACATCTTACCACTTTCTCACTTCTATTGGTTCATCATAATGAAATTCTTTGACAGGAGACCAACGTTTATCATAGAATTTAAGTCTAAATTCGAAAATAAAATGAAAATAACGAAGGTAGAATAAAGTAACTATTTAGACAATCCAATGTGAAGATGAAGGGATCATAAGAATTGTGTAATACATTAAAGCAATAAATTTTAAACTGGCGGATTGTACACTAAAAATCATTATATATATATATATATATATATATATATATATATATATATATGTATATATATCCATATATATAGAGATCAACTAGACGAAATGAAAAATAGGAGAAAAACATAGATTATTTGGAAAAACCAATATCAGTCATACTGTTGTGAAGAAGAACACGGGTGGGGACAATCGAATGTATTTGGCACGGAAATTACAGACTGTCTCACTAAAATTTGATAACCATACAGTAAACAGTTAATTTGCAAACTATCAATCAATTGTCTTAATATTGAATGTTCCTTATACAAGTATCAGTCCATAATCTTCAGTTATTATTGTTCTTGCATTTTCATACCGATTGCGTTTCGTTTCCGTTCTTTCATAATCGATTTTCTAATGTCATACATTCAATGCCTGACCATCGTCATATACTACTAATGCAGATGTTAGCGACCCATACCACAATACCACTCTTTATATTAGATCAGTGTTATTGGAAAAGGTTAAATAGGATTACAGATTATTTTCGAACATACATATAAAAATCGATAAATACAAATAATGAATAATTATATTGTACAACAGCCAAATAGTTAAAAAAGATTATAATATTAATTTTAATAGTTGAGGTCATGAGTCAATTGAAGCTAGAGGGGATCGTGGGTGCACATTTTTGAGGAGTCCCACAATAGGACGAAACGGTCGTCCAGTGCTTCCAGGTTTTCCATGGCAGTCTAGCTTCAATTGACTCATGATCTCAACGATTGAAATTACTATAATATCCACAAAACCCCTTTTGATATTAATATTAATTTGTTTGAAAGTCATCTAAGATGAATCATTTAGGTTTACTAAAACTGATTAGACATACCCCAAGGAAAAACAACTATAAGTTTATTAATCATTTGTACATACTAGAAACTTATTCATGTAATATTTATTCAATGTCCAGAATATTGTAATTAATGTTGTTTCTTTCTAGTTATTTTCCCTTTTTTTACCTCACAATTTATATGTTCGATGTATGATCTGATCCCGTTCAATGTATGTTACACTAATGTATTAAATAAGTCCAATCAATTTCATCTTTCTATTGCATTAACTGAATTTATCAGAGAAAATGCCCGTAAGGGTATATTCTTCAGATCTAAATGAAATGAACGTGGACGTTAATTTAAAAGTGCTTCATATCAGTTTTTACTTTATTGTTAAGATCAACATATAAATGATTAAAAGTTAGTCAATACAGATTCAGTCTTTCAGCTATGTTTTAAATTCTAATCAATCTTTTTAAAGTAAGAATATTTTCAGCATAGAGTTATAAGGATTGTTGAGTTTTAGTTGAGATCACGAATTGATGAATGTTAGACCATCATTGAAAATCTGGAAGCACTTGTTGCGCGATATTATGGATTGGTTGAAGTTATACATTAACACCGTTGGATAACGGTTCAGTAGTCTGGAGGTTAAGAGTTTGTGCGTGAGCCTGAAGGTACTGAGTTTGAGTCTTGTGTGTAGGATTATGGATGCGCACTGTTGTGGGGTTCCATACTAGGATGAAACAGATTCTCAATGGTTGTCTAACATTGATCAATTAATGATTTGGATAAATATATTTTATTTTATCAATATAATTTGTTCATTACTCTATTAATTTCTTTATAGATTATTAAATATGATAATTTTCTGAATATAAAAACTGAATGAAATTTAAATAGAAAAATACATTAGAAACAAGAAGAAATGTCACTTTTTTTAGTAAACAATGATCAAGTAATTTCAATGATTAAATTATGTTACCATGTGAACTATTTAAAAACCAATAAAAAGTTTTGCAGATATCTTTGTTCTGTATTTTTTGATGTTACATGTAAAATACTTTTAAGTTAATTATATAATCACTTGTAATAGTCATAAAAAAGAAACCAAATTTATTTTATTTGTAAAAGTTTATATTACTATGGCGTCAATATTAAGGAAAACAATTGATCAGTCCATATGGGCTTATGTGCACCTTGAGCAATTTATCTTTTATTTTACCATTCAGTTGCATGTTTTCAATTAAAGTTGAAGAATGGGTAGGAGGGGAATCCAGGACGCACGTTACACTTTGCTTATAACTGATCATTTAAATGTACCTATATCTTAGTGTCGATTTCAATCCTGATATTAGGACGAGGTGTAGTTTATATTAAACACTAAAACGTTATCATCCACGTTACTGAGTTCAAGTAGCCACTAAGCTATTTCAGTAGTTTGTCATTAGTATTTCACTTAAATAAAAATAATAGATTCAAGAAATCGCTGAGTAATTGACAGTAGTTTTATTTAATGGATTTTAGACTGTCTAACATAAGTTACATAATATATAATAAATAGAAATTGTCAGTTATAATAAGGGAATATTTAAAAAAATGTAAAACTGAAAAGTCTGTCAATATAATAAATCTGTAGGAAGGGGATGATGTTTAAAGAAGGTCTACATGATTAACTGAATATAGCTAGACAAGTCACGGAGAAAGGGAATACTCGAATACTTTTTTCATTATAATATGCCACTATTTACTAGTACATACTTATAATCAACCAGGAATTAAAATTCGGCACCTTCTATTTTTATCAAAGAGTTCAGTACATTTAGATCAATGTTTCAATTTTAATTTAATTGTTCTCATCAATTAGTCATTTAATAAAATAAAATATATAATATTTAAATGAAACCATTAACAAAATAGGCCGGATACCATCAGCAACAGCCTTCTGTGGGACAGGACGAACCAGCTTCCATCTGAAGAATAATTTAGGAAAGACATTGGAAGTGGTTCGAACATACATTAAGAAAATCACCAAACTGCATCACGAGGCAAGCCTTAACTTGGAATCCGGAGGGGAAGCAGAAAAGAGGAAGGCCAAAAAATTTATTACGCCGGGCAAAAGAAGCAGATATGAAAGGGATGAATAACAACCGGAAAGAACTGGAAATGATTACCCAGAACATGGTTAGACGGAGGGCGGTTTTGCTCCTCAACAAAGGGTAAAAGGCGTAAGTAAGTAAGTATTGCCAAAATAACCCAGTCATTTAATTTTTTTTGTTTACTCTAAAGGAAATCAAAATGTTTATTCTAATATCTGATGATTTTTTAAAGCTTTGAGATTTCTTCTTAATTGTTCCATAAACAATGACATTTTTGTTGAAACATTATTTTATTGACATAACATAAAAAAAGATTCATCTTACCGTTTTTTCACTTCAAGTGGTCCATCATAATGGAATTCTTTCACTGGAAACCAGCGCTTATGGAACATTAAGGGTCTGAATTAGAGAAAGAATATTAAAATGATATACAGACTTTATCAAAATGATTTGGTTCGCTCATTTTCATATTGGACACCAATTCAATGATGTTAATGATCAGACTTTCACAATTAGACTGAAAGTTCTGGGTACTATACCTGATGGGGTCGTATTGAATGCAACCTTTAGATTAAACCAGACTCTGCAAAATCCTTTCAATTAAACTCTTTTGAAGTTATCCATTGGAATGATTGAAATTTAGGAAATATTAGGTTGCTGCTTTATTCTTATATGAGACTCTTTAACAGCATGAGGCCAAAATAATATCACCACATTGATTACTATGTTTTTGATTAATTACCTGTATATTTATATATATTTTTAGAAGTTTATTCATTTTGAGTTATCAGGTGGTTGGAAGCAGTCGGCAAGAAATTATTCATCTAGAATTTTTGCTAGTTGACATTAGTTAACAAGATATAACTGTAGTGTTAAATGAACTGATACCTTTATTGAATTCGAATCTGAAAAACCCAGCCTCAAATGTGGAAATGTACATATAAAAACTACTCACTTAAGTATTCCTCCGTTATGGAATGGTATAATTTAGAGAACTGGACGTCTACTTCGTCCCATCAATAATACAAACCCCAGATTGTTTGTTAGGTGAGTGAACTACATTGAACAACAATTTAATCGTATACAGGTGATATCTTTCAGCACTTTATGACTGAGCATAAGTATGATATACTTTGTTAAGTAGTCTTATAAAACCTATTGTTATTTTGTAATGAAATTTACGAAATGGAGTTATCTACTACTGAGAATAAGTTTTTTGATTATTAACACACTGAAATCATAATTGTAACCTTGAAGCAAATAATGCATCTCATGGAATTCAAACCATGTCATCCAATCTCACGGTTAGTGATGCCACCGTAGAGTTATCCGAACTATGAATACTTCCTATAAAACTGAAAAGTTCACATTATATCATTACTTAATAACAACTAATGCGATACTTAATACATAATGATGATTCAAGTCTGTCGATCAAGGTGCTGAGTGTCTGTTATTTTAATTGCAGCTCATCGTGTTTAATGTTGGACAGCTAAATGCATTTGATAAGAAGTCTTAAAGTAGTCTTTTGTAGCTGGTAGTAAGCAAATTTTGTGCTCACTTAATTGCCCTCCTGAACACACAGTTCAACAAAATAAAATCACATGTGCATTTAAAATATCTATAGTCACCAGTGAAGTAACTATCAGAATTGGATGAAAAGTTTTTTAACCAGAACACGGAATTTATTTCCGATCTATGAGGTTAATTTAAGATTTCACCAAATCACTTTGAGTAGATTTTCTCTCTCTCTCTCAATATATGATTAGTAGATTCTTTATCATCTATCAGAAGAGTTTTCCAAATGGCAATAGAAAGCAAATGATTATGATCAAATTAAGAGACCTAAACACTGGTCCTCATCTCGAATGCTTTCTACAGAACAAAAGATTTACACACACTATATGATAGAGTAGACTTATGATATAATAGTACAAACAGTTTAAAAATTAGTAACCTTCATTAATTTTTCATTTTCATGAATTAACGTATCAATGAAATGGATCTAAAGTAAATCGACAACGATCAATCACTCATGAAGTAAAACCGACTTTCATTTCAAATTTAACTTAGCAATTTTGTGTGAATGTCATTAAAACAACATTGATGGTTAGCAAAGATGGATAGCGGCTAGCAGTGAAATCTATGACGCCCGTTTCGTCCTATTTGGGACTCGTCAGCTGGATGTACCTGCATCTCAGAGTTGATGTTCACTCTGAGACTCGAACCCAGTACCTATCCTGGATTCCACTGCTCGCCATTATCCATATTTGCTTACAATGCTTGTGAAATAAGGTTATATAGCAGCGATACGCACAGTATGCACATATGCCAATAAGAGACTGACCAGTTGCAGTCCTAAACATCAATGAGAAGATTCAAACAAGTAATACTATGTGAATTTACCATTGATGGTTGTTACCATGTTAAATGGAATAAATGAGATAAGGAAATATTGATTTTAAAAAATGTTGACTGTAGTTAGTAAGGTGTTAAGCTACATTATTAATATCATAGTAGTTTATTAAACACAATGCTGTTATCTAAAAATTAATCAAAATAAACTTGATGAGGTGAAAATAAAAAAAAAGTTCAGCATATATTACCTTAACAACTAATTACAAAATCATATACATAGGCTAGACAGACGTTATGAAATTGTGCATAGTTTTAAGTACTCTATCATCTAAACTGTCATTATTGAACAGTATATTATTACGATGCTTACCTGTGTAAGGTTAGAAATTAGTCAAAAATAAAAATAAAAATCTATCATATAAATCACCCATCTATTTTGATAATGATCTATAAAATATTATGTATGGCTTTTAAATGAACCTCTGTTTTTTAATAACTTTAGTACCAAGCTGGGATAAATGATTCCATGACATAGTTTCTCATTCTTTTTCAATTCAGCTATAGATAGGAACAAGAACCAGTTGAAATCAATACATTTCAGCACATCCATTCAACAATTTCTTGAGTTAACACAAGGGGGTTTTGTGAAGATTTTAGTAATTTTATATTAGTTAAGATCATTAGTCAATTGAAGCTAGACCACCGTGGAAAAACCTGGAAGCACTGGACGGCCGTTTCGTCCATGGTGTTCTAGCTTCAATTGACTCATGATCTTAACTATATAAAATTACTAAAATCTCTACAAATCCCCTTTGTGATAATGATCATATGTTCACTGACTGACTCCATGAGGTAATTCCTGAAGTTCTATTGAGAAGTCGTGGCCAGTGGAGCTAATCCATGTCAGGTAACTAGGTATCTACCTCAGCAAAATGGAAGTTGATCGCGCAATTTCGTGGATTGATTGAGGTTAGACATTAACACCGTTGGGTACCGGCTCAGTGGTCTATCGGTTAAGTGCTCGCGCGCGAGACTGATAGGTCCTGGGTTCGAATCCCGCGAGGCGGGGTCGTGGATGGTGAGGGGTTCCGCAGTAGGTCGAGACGGCCGTCTAGTTCTTCTAGGTTTCCTATGGTGGTCTAGCTTCAATTGACTCATGATCCTAACCATATAGAATTTCTTGAGTTGTTTGTATAGTTACAATTCATTTTAATATGTACATAATTCAATGACTCTTTTTTTGGTAAAGAAAAGCTTACTGACCTCAATACAATCAAGAAATTTGTTAAAGTTCTACAATATTCATGTGAAGTTCTAACATCTGAAGACATTAGAACGGACGTTGATTGAATGAATAGTTTTTTTTAAAAAAAAATATTTTATGTTTGTAAAAGTGAAGAATGTTTGCCAACTATCATACATTACTTGTTCTCATAACTGATCTACTTTTATTGATAAATAAAACACATGATCAATATAAAGTACATTAATATGAATTGAATGAAATAAATGATCATACCTTTTTTTAATCTCTAACGGTTCATCATAATGAAATTCTTTCACAGGATACCAACGCTTACTCAATATATTTGACCTAAATTATAAAATTAATATAATTTTTAAGAAATTGAGAGTTGAGTAGATTGTTATAAATAAACTAATATATTTTTAATATTTTAATGAGTAGAAAAAAATTAGATTTTCTGACGTTTCGTCACTCAGTGTACGCCACTTCTTCAGACAACAAATAATCAACTTTAAATTAATCCAAGTATGAATAGTACAACGGAACAACACAAATATTATGTCATAATTTGGTTATTTATTCTCTGAAGAAGTGTCTTATACTGAGTCATGTCAAAGGAATATAACTTACAACAACATTTTTAAATTCTTAACATACGGCACACTATACTGTGTACGTGTCAAACATAATTTATCTTTTGCAATTATTTGAGAAACTCGTAATTTCGACAAGGTTTTGTCTTCTTTTGTAATTGTTTTCTCACATGTATGTATTCAATTTTTTTTACTAGAATGGAAAAGTTAACCTCGATTTTGTCCAAAAAAAAGGATAAATAGTATTAATTCGACAATTATGTATTTTTATGGTTGGACTCATGAATCAGTTGAAGTTAGACAACCATGGAAACCTAAAAATACTGGATGGCTGTTTCGTCCCGCTGTGGGACTCCTCAGCAGTGAGCATCAACGATCCCTCCTCACGAGATTCGAACCCAGGGCCTATCAGTTTCGCGTGCGAAAGCTTAACATCTAGACCACTGAGCCGGCTTCAAACAGTGTTGGTGTCTAACTTCAACCAATCCGCGAAATTGAGCCGCCGTCCACCATCGCTTTGCGTGGCGGGATAGTATTTATATATATGTCTTTCTTCGTATTAATTGCAGTTATCAAGTCAGTTCTGACCCGTTACTGTCTTGAATCAAATTTTTTAGGCTATATATATGGTTACTAGTGACTGACTTCAAGAGATATTTCCCGGAGTTCTAGTGAGAAGCAGTGATCAATGGATTTCAACCATGTCTGATGTGAGATTGGAACTCATTGAAAACAACTTGTGGACGGTTGTTTAACTTCGTGGTTTGGTTGAAGCTGGGCATTAACACCGCTGGATGTCGGATCAGGTGTCTAGAGGTTAAGTGCTCTCTCGTGAGACTGATAGGTCTTGGGTTCGAATCTTGCGAAGCGAGATCGTGGATGCGCGCTGCTGAAGAGTTTTACACTGGGACGAAACGACCTTCCAGTGCTTCCAGGTTTTTCATGGTGGTCTAGCTTCAATTGACTCATGCTTTCAACTATGAAAACACTGAAATCTCCACAAAACCTCCTTCTGACTACATATAAACATCAATTACGTATTTTAAAATGAAACAAAAATGACTTTTAATTACATAAGATTATGAAAAATAACATGCAAATGAAGTGTATCTATTTAATTTATAAGTGTAAATAATTCACAAATGATTTACCTGGATTTATATAATAATCCTTCATTATATTCTGCACTGTTAATTGTTATTAAACCAATAACTGAAAAGAATGAAATATAATTGAAAACTATTCATGGAATCAAATGAAACGTTTGTTTATATTTGAAAAGTACAAAAGAAACATATAGAATTAAGTGTATTTTTCCTAGCGAAGATTATAGTAGGCTGTGAAAACAATGAATTTTGATAATGTTCAAAAACATAAAACACAACACACTGCTAGCTACAATCTGTCTTTGCTTATAAAGCTTGTGACTTCAGGGAATATCGAGGCATGATGCACAGAATGCGCAAATGTCAACATGAGACTGATCAATAGCAGCCCTAAATAACAATGGGAAGATATAAGCAAACAATAGCAAGTGAATTTAAACTTCACCCCATTGCACAAGTAGGTAGCTATCAGAACTCAGTAGTTAAGTGGATAGCGCGATGGCGTTTAAAGTGAACGGTACTGGGTTCCAGTCCCAGAATGAACATCGACTTTGAGATGCAGGTACATCCAGTTGATGAGTACCAAATAGAACGAAACGCGAATCCTAAATTCCACTGTCAGTCACTATCTAACAGTTTCGACTACTGTTAAATCATATATTCTAAATAATAGTTCAACAATAACGTCATTTTCATTTATTTAAACATTTTTAACCATTTGATAAGTCAATTTATTTCTTATTCCAAAATTTGTCTTAATAAATTACCAATGGAATTAGTGTTCCATAATAAGATGAACATAATCTTAATTCTGTATGGTTAAATTGTTTACTGGAAATGTCAAATATCAATTTCTGAAAACTATGGTGAATCAGAGAACTGTTTTATCTTATTTCACGACTTCTAAAGAACATGTAACCACAAACATACATTTGATTGAAGTTGTTATCTTCAGATCTTCAAACATCATTCTCTTATATCTCTCAGGCATTATGTAATGGACAGGGAATTAAGAGTATAGTGTGACAACTTTAATAGTATATGTAGGTATAAATAAATATAAATATGAATAGTTTGTTATCCGAGATTTTTTTAAAAATTTGAAGTTAGAAATGTGTACCTTTGGAGGTCAACTCAGTGGTTTTAGCGGTTAAGCTCAGACCACATGACATGTTAGTCCTGGGTTCAACCTCACTGAAGAAGCCATTGGTACGCACTTTTCAGAATACTTATGTTCTGACAAAACAGCTGTCAATCGATTTCTGATCTTCAATGGTAACTCAAAATAGATTGGTCCCTTTACGAATATCTTAAATAGATTGAAATAGTTGCTATAGGTCTACTTTGTCTAAAGACCTATTATGGTTGACATTCTTAACATTTACAATATGTATTCAGTTGATAAGCTGTCATACAAAAGATTATTTTTTATCACAACACAGTAGAACTTACTCTGCAGTATGCAGTTTGATTATGATTTCCACTGAAGTGTTAAGATGGTAAATAGTTTGGATAAAAACAGACACATGAGAAGTTTAATATATGTGTTATTAATTTATTCAACACTAAAATGAAACCTGTAAAAAATGGTGACATTGAAGCAATCCTCAAATGGTGCACATTAATCAACTAAGACTGATTAAAGTTCAGTCAAGATTACGAACAATGAGATGATTCAAATCTTTTCTACTTAGACATAAATATCATACTTGTTACACAAAAGAATGACTATTTGAAGTCAGTAGATCAATTGATAATGAGTTAGACATCTGAAGCGAGAAATAATGAGTTCGAGTTCCAGAGTGATTATCAACACTGGGTTATAGGTATATCCAGCTGACAAGTCCCAAATAGGAAAAAACGTAAAAACAGTATTCCACTTCTAGTCATCTACTTTATAAACTATTCTGTTCTCTTAATTCCTGAAGGAGAAACGTCTTTAGGGGATGATAGTTACACCTTACATTTGACAAATTAAACCTTTGTATTATCGTTGCATTGAAATTGATTTTTTAATTTACTTGCTATTTAGGAATCCTTTGAAAGTATCTAATAAATGGAGTATAATTATCTTACATTTGAAATTAAAGCAGATGGTGTTGACTAGTTAAATAATTCAGATTTACAGTAGAGAAGTTACATCTAAAAAATAAATTATTTAACGTATTTGCACCGTTACTACAGAACACTTTTGACTAGAATTTCGTTGAAGAACATATGATAGTTGAGATAATTTGAGTCATATGGTGATTACGTTCAAAAATTACCATTTGTTTACAAGAATTTAATTATTTTTGATTTTTTACATAATAAGCAATCAACAATGATAGAGTATAACTATTTAAAGTCGTTAAACATATTTATGTGCCGTCATAGTAAGTAGTTTGTAGAGACTGTTTGATTTTCACAAGTTTACTCAACCTCTTTTACTGTTTCTGTAATCGCTCATTTATGTGAATCGCCTTCATGTCTGTTCCTCCTATTTTGTTTACTATTTATACCTGACTGGCGGATTCATGATTCTAAAGCGACATAAATTAAATTGAAATAGTCATTCGTTTTCCCTGAGTTCAAAGAGAATTGTAGATAATGTCAATTCATGGCCTAAAACTATGAATATGAACATCTGTGGTTAGGTTTTCCGTAAATAATGAAGGATGATTTCTGAGCCATACTAAAAATTGTTACCAATCAAAGTTTAGCAGATTCTGGTAAAGCAATCGTGCCAAATAATCACTACATATAACTCATTATTGAAGTTCATTTTAAAACATTGGAGAATTCGCTTTATATACTTCTATAACTTCGATGAATTAATTAATATTATTAAATGGTAAGTAAGCCTAGTCTTATGGTTTTGTTTGACGTCAAGCAAGGTGGCTACTAATCTCAGTAACTCGATATCGATTACACTACGTACGGGTCTCAATCTCACTGGGGAGATTAACTTACTCAAGATTGTACAGATGGTTTCTTTACAAGAGCCTACTAGCATGAGGCCTAGATTGAGTAGAGTTTCTTGTTCACTACTTTCAAGCACTTTAGAAGTACTAAAATGAGTACTATCTGATCACCGATGCTAAATGAATCCTGTGACTTAATTTTTTAAATCAAATTCTATTCTAAGTTCACTGAATCTGTTATAAATAGAATCAACCTCGAAGGATACATTGAACACTGATTTTTCGACTCTATAGGCTTACATTAGTAGGTTGTACAAGCTAACTCGACTTACGGTGAATTAATATTTAAATGTATCAAAAATTTAATCAAAATAACTCCATTACCATAAAACATAAATCATACAATCTACCTTACTAATACTTTCCGAATATTCATTGTGATACTGTCTACAAAGTGATATACTATTCGTAGTATCAAAATCATGTAGGTTGATCTACCACAAAGGATTGAGTGCTTACACTTCTATTTTATTGTATTGTAAAATGAATGAAATTCGGTTTTATATTCGATGTTCAATTAGGAGAATGTATACATTGAAATAAATTTCTAAATCAAATGCTTAAATGCTTACAATGTAAATTAAAAAAATACTGAATCAAAAGCGGAAGGTAGATAGAATTTAAATCTGAGTACGGATTTTTTTTCTGTTAGACGTTTTTATCGTTAAAATTCATAATTTTTTTAGTTTCACTCATGATAGATTGATCTTCTTTATGTTGCCGATAAAAGTAAGAGGGAAGTGAACAGTTGTTTTGTTTTAGTATATAATATCTCAGTAGTGAATACCAACAATCATGGTTGACATTTAACTCTACACTCATGCCTCAAGATAGATTCTTAATCATTAAAACTATTGGGTTACGTTTATGGATACTCACAGCTAAGATGATCCATACTAAAACTAAATATGTGTAATGTCTTCTATCTATAATGAATGTAAACCAATCGATAAAAGCCGTTTCAGTGAAATTTATCTTGATTTATCAGATTGACAAAAAATCCTTAATTAAATTCACTTGGTATTGTTTGTTTGAATCTTCCCATTCATGTTTAGGACTGCAATTGATCAGTCAGTGTAAGTGTATACTGTGCGTACTGCCTCGATATAGCCTTAATTCACAAGCATGGTAAGCATAGATGGATAGTTGCTAGAGTTGGGATCCAGCAAGCGCATTTCGTCACATTTGGGACTCGTCAGCTGGATGTGCCTGCATCCCAGAGTTGATGTTCACTCTAGGACTCAAACCCAGTACCGTTCGCTTCAAACGCCATCGCGTTATCCACTTAGCTATCGCGTCCTGATAGCCACCTGCTTGTGCAATGTGGAGAAGTTTAAATTCATTTAGTATTGTTTGTTTGAATCTTCACATTGATATTTAGGTCTGCAACTGGTCAAATCCTTATTTGTTCAAAATTATATGACTGGATTTACGTAAACTCGATATATTTCGACTGGAAAGTATATCAAATACTGTATTTATATTAATTAAAGTAAATATACAATTTTGAAAGGTAAATATATTGTGAAAATAGTTGTAATTGCTCAAAATATATACTTACCAACCATGGTAATGAACTTGAAGAAGCCAGAAAAACAAAAAAACCTACCAATAGATAATGTTTAGCTATTTATTGATACATAAAAAAACTCTTAGTACTAAAAAACAAAAAAACGAGTAGTGATATTTATGTTGTTGTGAACACAACACCGGTTTGGGACAATCGAATGTATTTAGACACAAACTACAGACCAACTCACTAAATTCTGATAACCATACAATGGACAGTTAATTTGCAAAATTATCATCAACTGTGTCAATCTTCACTGTTCCTTCTGTAAATATCAATCCAACTTCTCAAATTTTATTGTTCATGCATTTTCCTACTAATTGCGCTTCAGTTCGGTTCTTTCCTTATCAGTCTTCTGCCAAAATACATTCTATGTTTAACCATCAACATATACTACTTATGTGGATATAAGTAGACCACAGCACAATGTTATCATAATTTGTTATTGTTTCATTGATATAGTTTATTATGAAGGGTAAATTATTTTTCTGGTTAGCGTTTTTTTAAAGAGTTGGTTTTTTACGGGATGGGTTGCTAACCCCATGTCCAACCCTACTCTTTTATACGGGCTTG